TGCCAAAGCATCCATTCCGACATTTTGCACTGACTGGCCATCTCAACTTGACGGATGTCACTAAACCCGAAACCAGCGGTTATGCCCATTACACGACAAAATATCTCTCGAATTGCACTCACAAAAATACGATTTCCTCTCCACGTGTTCAAGCACTTAGCGTCGTTTTTCTTCCGTTGGATGACGGATAAGACCATTCCCGTGCCACATCTACATGATGTTATTCCTTACTGGAGGATTCGCCTTTAGAATTCCCTATAAAAAAGTCACTTGGATCGCCCGACGCACTGTGTGTAAAAAGTAAATAATGGTGAATTTCCGCTATGAACTGAGTTTACGGCAGTGCAGCTCTCAAAGCCCTGCGTTTGACGAAATCCCTGGAAAGTCAATAAAAGTTAATAAACCCCAACTTCTTCTATCCGAACGAGCACTGGCAGATTTCATTTTATACGACATGTCAGCATCCAGATTTTGAGCTTGGTACATAAGCGTTCTATCGTGTGTGGCCATCCTTTGGTTGCGCCTGCACTGAGTCCGCCAGACCACTTGATAGGGAGAAGACGGAGACGCGGCTATTTTTTCAGGACAAAACATGCAGAGATTCAGCGTAATATATAGGATGGATACAGGACAAATACGGTTCACGGATTTCACGGATTGATACACAGGATCGAGGCTATTGCTCAAGTTTCCCGGGTCGGTTTTGTTTTTGTCGATCAGTGGCTGCCGTTTACCTGAAAGGCACAAGTGAAAAAAGGGTGTGGCACTGATTTTTATACTCTCAGCGTGGGGCAGTATGCTTGCCAGCGCGAGGATTCGCATAAATAAATGTCTAATAGTGCTTTAAACTGGGTTCTAGAAGGGGCGCGGACAACCGTCGTAGGAAGGTCATTCCACGCGGCTACTACCAGAAATGAGAAAAATTTTGTCTAATGAATGTGTGTGCCCTGAGCTTGAAAATTTTTTACTATATCCCGGCCGTGTTTTTGCTGGGTCAACGGTAAAAAACCTGTTTGCCAAGCTTTGTTCAAACAGGGCGTAATTAAGCATTAGTTTCCCTCGGAGGCGACGGTACTCCAGAGGAAAGAGATCAAGCATCGCGAGACGCGTTTCGTAGTCCGCGGATTTGAGGCCGGCAACCATTCTCGTAGCGGCCCGCTGGACACGCTCAATGAGGGTGTCGTCGTCCGTGCGTATTGAGTAGAAAACTTGGTTGGCGTACTCCAGGAGCGGTCTGAGGTAGGCCCCATAGAGTATTTGGAAGTCCATGCGAGTAATACGGGAGAAGGTGCGTCGGATCATCCGTAAAATGGCGAATGCCTTTTGGGCCGATTTCTCATGGTGCAGTGAGAAGGACAAGTTTGAGGAGACCCAGATGCCCAAATCTTTTTTGGCATCTATCCTCATGAGGTTTTCTGGTCCCTTTTCACCATGCATAAGAAAAGCATTCGCTGATTCCCCTCCAAACGACACATGGACGCACTTTTCGTCATTCAGAGGAAGGTGCCAGTCCAACGACCACTGCTTGGCAGCGTCTACATCCATTTGGAGGGCACTGGCATTGGAACTCCAGGATTTCATGTCGTCCGCAAAAAGTGGACGTGGACTCGCAAGAACGTCTGGGAGGTCGTTGACGTAGATCAGAAACAGGTTCTTCACCTTTTCATTCTGTACAGCCTACTGCGGTGTTCTTGTAGGGAGAAATCTCAACCCCATTCCTCTGGTCGTGTGCTGATAAGCTGTGTTTGGTGAGCTCCGCCAACGCACCTGGTATCCGGAACATGTGGTACCGACGACAACCTCGGAGATGCGTCATTCTCGCCAGTGGCTATTCTGGCAATGAGATTGATTTCTCAATATCTACGGCATTTTCAGACTTGCCACTTCATAGTGTAGAATGTCTATGTATAACGCATATGATCATTTACTATGGCGATTTGTTTAAATGAGCGAATTCGCAAGGTCATAAACACCACGGACTGTGAATACGTTACCTGATGATAAAAAATCGCGAATTGTGGAAAACGTTGACACACGTAGAATAAACGTAGTTTTCGAGTATTTTTTCATAGCAAATTTTGGTCGATGATTTTTTGTTGCCAGTAAAAATTCCGTGGTGCACGTTAATTATTTGCTAAACGTCGTGCATGTTTGCTGGCATAAACCAGAGTTTTCCATTATAAGTTGCGAATTATGCTAGGAAGACCTCGAAGTTTATCGGTTAGGAACATGGAACATACGTCAATCATAGAGGACAGTTGAACGAACCTCACCGACGCACACGACTGACATGCGGCTAGGGGTAAACGATGCCTAACTAACTAGCCACATAGAACCTACGTCGATCATAATGAACAGCTGAACGAACCCGACCGACGCACATGACTAACATGCGGCTAGGCTAGAAAGTGCACGTGCGTTCTCCAGCACAGGTGTCAACAGTCTGGGAGCATCTAAGTGTTTGTACCACAAACTATAATTTAGGTTACGTAACTCGTCGTTACCTTGTTTGTTCCAACACCTCCATATAGCAGCCGCGGTGGTCGCGGACCCAAGTGCCTCAAAACGGGAGCGTATGCATATGTCGTCATTCGACAGACCATGTTAAGAACGTAGGCGTCACCCTGCAGGATATGCAGCCTGTCGCAGTGGTACGACGTATGCATCTCGTACTCCCGCATGAGCCACTCGGAGTGCCAGGACACCTTTTGAATGGCATGATCGAACGTGTCGGAGTGGTACACCCGATCTTCAAGGCGGCCGTTCGCTTTCTCCAATCGGTTGTTGTCACATTACCGAAATAAACCATTCCGGATTGTGCGTGTACGGTCCATTTTCGTGTGATGTACAACCAGCGAGCCGTAAGATAGGAAAGAAATCGACGATCTGTTCGGCGCAGAAGTTGCAGGTCTTGTCGGAATATGTATGCTTGTAATACGATGAATATAAAACCTACTGTATAGCATCGTCCAGGCAAGCCGTGCTGTAAAATATGTGCCGGCTATTTGCAGAATTCGCCTATGACAAAAAATACACCGATACTAAATGCTACATACGTGCTTTCTGACGGCCTTGCGGACATGAAAACAGCAAAGCACAACGTCACAGCCGAACACGACTCTTGTTGCACGCATTTGCGCCACCAACATATCCATTACAAAGGACTTAACCGGATACGTTTCGCCAATCGTTTCTTTGAATAAGCCGAACTGTTTACGCATGAGTGCAAACTGCTCGCTCTCTACGAACGCATGCATAACCGTAAGCCCGGCTCACATGCCGTCCGTTATCAAGAATGTGTACAGTTAATATCTAAGTGCCGAATATCAGATGGTTTAAAGGCGGTAGTAGTGTATATCCTTAGTGGAAAAATCCTTCCGAATTCATCCGCCACAAACTGCTGCACCTCACATGACCGCATTCCATATTTTCAGCAGGGCCTTGCATGTGCCCAATTCGTCTTCGATTAACTGGAAGCCTATCTGTAGTAACGGTATTTTCCTCAGCTTAGTTCTCGGTTTGAGCCTCCCAAGCTAGCGTTCACGTCAAAATAACCACCAAAGGTGCACAAGGTCTATTAATGAACAAACCAAAGGCAAGGACTGTTGTACAGCGCTTCGTATATATAGCGTAAGCGGTTAACTTTCTGGAAGTTCTGGCGCGTTCTGGATGCGCCATTGGCAACCGGCATTTGGCCAATACTGGGTCACGATTGGTTTTTGGGTCCAGATTCCTGACCAATCGGATCTCGTCTCGATGCCGGACCGGCAAACGTCCCGATTCTGGGCCAGCCTTGCGCGGGCCATGCCTATAGTCCGCGCCTAAAGACGTGCGGTATAGTGGGATCCATGTGGATTCCTGCCTAACACGACCGTACACAAACTTCGACAATTTGTAGTTTTGCTCAAGAAAATAAGAGGTCACTGCCAGTTGGTTCCTTTGCCCCCGTAGACAAAACAACACTGGATAGCTGGTGCTTCGGCAATCCTTTTTTATCAGAAAGTACGCTCGGCTTACTTGCTTCTTTGGATGGATTCCACGGCCTTCCGTTGGTCTTGGAGGGCGCCTGCTACATTTGTTGTACACCCATTCTTAACGCAAAATAGCGTTGTTGCTACAATTATTGGATGAACTCACAAAAGCCACAAAGTTATCCTTTATGTATTCATTTAAGGTCCTCTCAAATGCCGTGAAGGGTGAAAACGATACACCCACAAATTTCTCAGCGAACGATTTTGAGGCCACTTCCGAAGCCATAGAACACGAAGTTCAAAGCCGAATGTGCGCCAATAATTTTCAAAAAGGATCGATTGAAGCAAATCGCCAAAAATGTCGGCAGCTGAGGAGGATTTTTAGAATGAGCATATATGCGAAGAAGTGCAACATTTTGACGTTAAAGTTTTTATTTCACCCGCAGGGATTTTGCAGAAAAAAGCATTGCGCGTCGAAGCATCGATTTCATTCTCTGTACATGTGCTATATTCATGTTTTGGCGCGTTCTGACACTGAGGACAGCTTGCTTTCGTGTACAAGGGTGGCAAACAGCCAAGAAACTTTGGCGGAACAAGGACCATAGCATGTCGAAACTTAACACAATCAAACACTTGCTCATCTTTTGATCCTCTTAGCTGCAGCCGCTGAAGCGCAACGAACAGTGATTATGATAAGACTGTTGGTCAGCTGGGAATCCATTTCAGTCTCACACCCTCTATGGACATCCTTATGTTTTTCAGGAACCTTTTACTGCTGGCTTACAAGTTGCACAACGGTGACAGACGTCCCCTGGGTTCTATCATTCTTGCACGATCACTTTATTGCGCATTCTTCTCTTGGTGGATCCAACCGATTATCACGCAACCTATGAGACACATTTGAAAACAGTTGAAACCAGTGAGGCCCAATAAATTGCCCTTGAGAATATAGTTTTAATAGATTGGTTTGGTGTTGCGTCTGGCAAAATTTCAATCTGACCAATCAGAGTTAACCACGTTCACTCTTAGTCCTGTCACACGTGTTGTTTTGTTGCTCTCCTTGCGCGGACCTTCGCTTCCTCCGAAGCCTACGGACAATGTGTAACTCATGGCTAGTGGCACTTTGCATAGCCTCTTGTCTTCTTGTCCGATGTACAGGTAGGAATAAGCGTATGTAAACTCTTCACTCCGTAGACGCGAACGCCGCGATGTCGATCGACTTGGGTTCTCGGTTCATGAAAGTAGCCGTCGTTATGGTAAGCTCTTTCGAATCGCTCAACATTACACTTTCAGCCTGGTTTACCCATGGAGGTCGTCTTAGACAGGTGCGTTTTGTGTCCGAAGCCTAACTAATCGTTAATCGTTTTAGCGAATCAATGCGTAAGACTCCAACTTCGATTGGGTTTCGTGACAAAGAGCGACTTTTCGGTCGGGCCGCCATTACCCTGGTAAGTGTTTGACGCTAAATGTGTCGCACGCCGCACGACACCTGGCAATAGGATGGGGCATTTATCCATGATCAAACTCCCAATTCTTTAATCCACTCGTTTCGATCACTGTATTGTGGTGAAGGCAAGCGTATGCGAGGATTTTGACGGAAGTCCGCTGTCATATCCTACTGTATTTAGAAGCGGAGATCCAAGTCCTTTGCCTTCAGATCGGAGCGCTCGATCCACTGGAAGTCCGCTGTCATATCCTACTGTATTTAGAAGCGGAGATTCAAGTCCTTTGCCTTCAGGTCGGAGCGCATCGATCCACTATTTTCTGTTTTTCTCTGTGCTCATCGTTGGTTATTATCTCGCTGGCGACCCGCCTCGTTGTAGCCTTAAGGGATAGTTGGATATTTTGTGACCTTCCGTAGTGTTTAGATGTTTTGTAGTGTCACTTACAGTCGTTTGCATGCAGAGTGCCAAAACCGATCCATGGGAATCCCTCACCTGATACTGTCAGTAAAAATTCATGTATTCATGACAGCAGGTTTTTCGTAACCCACTAGCACCTCATGCCAGCCATCAGGCTGTTGTGGTCGTCTTTCGGGGAGCCAGTCAAAATGTGACCACGTGGTGCTATGTCTTGTCTGTGTGAGACCTAATCACATTACTGATAAGCCACTGATGGCCAAACGGCGAGGTGTTCAGCCACTGACCAAAAGGTTGCAGGTTTGAGGTGCTGTCATTTCCGCGAGATACGCTAATGGTTTCCAACAAGGGTGAAACTGCTGTACAGCTCTGGGCCTTTCAGCGTAGATTGGTTTTACTGGAAGGATGAAATATCCATAAATGTTTATGTTACACTCGCCCAAATGCTTTACTGAAGTCGAAGAAGATCGACAGCACCTAAGTCAATCAAAAATAGCTTGAAAGGGCCACTGTATTCACTTCGACAGCTATGTTCCGTTCCATCGGGAGTGGATTTTCATTAGATGTCTGACTGAAATGGAGAGCTGTATTCCTCCGAATGCCAACGTAAGGAATTTCATGAATTGGAACGCCTGACATGAAACCATTATAACCATTAATCTGTCCTTCATGGTTGCTGGACGGTTAAAGGATTGCTAAGTTATTCTATTGATATACCGTAAATGAAGGCTCATGTGTACCTGAAATTTGGTCCCAGCCACAATACCAGATTTTAGTTGAACTGCTAACTCCATGGTCCCTCTACCACCAATTGTAGGTACTCATTCGCATGTCTGTGCCGGATGTCACGTTGCTTGTACAGAAGGGTGTTTGCCAGATAGTGTACGACCACTCGGTCGGATGTCTCCGGATGATGGCCGAAGGAAACGGAGCTCTTAAAGTGACTAGTCATTGCCGTTCGTAAGCATTTTCGACAATTACGCAACTTATTTGATTTTTACCCATCGACCCCTGCTCTCCTAACCCCGTTTTCACATAGACGCCCGTGAGTGTGTCTAACTGAACACACGGTTTTTGTTGAATATCATACGAATCTTGGGAACCAATAGCAGAAAAAAACCTTGTTCGCCGCGTTCGTCCGTATTTCGAACTCGGTATGCATTTTCAGTTACCCGAATCAATCCAGATGTCGTATGCCTCCTTGACTCCTCGACTGCTCCCGTCTAGGTATGGACGACCTCGCGCTCCCTTTGGGCTGCACGGTAGCTGTGAACCCATTGAGGGAAACCGTTAAGCCACTTGAATTGGGTACCATTGGGTATGATTTTATCACTTTGAATCCACAAGCCTCTACCGTCCCATAAAATAAGCCATAGTCTGGAATACAGCTTGCGTTTGGATTCCTAGCTGATTGTTTCCGAGTATTTCTAATTAACGACTGCGTAGGATTTTTAGGCTACCAACATTTAGGATTTGTGGTTAGTTAGCCTAGACACTTAACTTCTAACCATGTGTATCGGTGTACACTTGGTTACTACCGCCATTATTTCTGCTATCGTTTTGCTGAATTCCGAATGGGTTTAAGTAGTGCACTGGATATCAGACCGAACGGTGGCACTACTTAAATCTCGAAGAAATATCCCAGC